CAGCAGGGAGATTGCTAAATTACAAAATCATAGAATCACAGAATCATTCAGGTTGGAAAAAACCTTTAAGATCATTGAGTCCAACCTAAACCTAACACTGGCAAATCTACCGCTAAACCATGTCCCTAAGTACCACATCTGCACACACTTTTAAATACCCCCATGGATGGTGACTTCCTTGGGCAACTTGTTTCAGTATTTGATAATCCTTCTAGTGAAGAAGTTTTTCCTAATATCCAGTCTAATTTTTTCATTCTATTTCTTAATATCCAATCTAATCTGATTAGTTCATTTAAATGATCAGTGTGCTAAAAGAGGATAGCTGGAGTGGGGGATGTGTGTATTTCCAGAGATAAAAAGTTCCATTTCCTTACTTTACCATTTTCCTGTGCTTCTGAGAATGATTTTATAAATAAAATAATATTGTAGCTTCATCTTCACTGTTAATGCAACATTTTGGTTGCAGCAGCTGCATCATATACATATGCTTAGGAAGGGAATTGTGGAACGGAAGAGCTAAGAACAGTTGCAAAAGCAAGGTACAGGGCCTAAGTAGGCAAACTCATTACCTTTTCTCTTTTTTCCTCTACATTAAGAAGTTTCTGTGTTGCGAGATAGCACAAAACTGTGATAGCATTTTGAGGTTAGTTACCCGTCATTATCTGACTGCACAAATGACAATGTGAGTTGTGATGGATCGTCGTTTCCTTTTTATATGCAAAAGAATTCAGCATTATAATGTCCTTTAAGAAGAGAATGATTTCTGTAGCACAGATACAGTACAAATCATTTTCTTTGTTCTTTGCCTGATAGGACTTGCAGGCCCAAGATAGAGCTCACCGAATTGGTCAGCAGAATGAAGTTCGAGTCCTGCGATTGTGCACTGTGAACAGTGTGGAAGAGAAGATACTTGCTGCTGCAAAGTATAAGCTGAATGTAGATCAAAAAGTAATTCAGGCTGGAATGTTTGATCAGAAATCTTCAAGCCATGAAAGGAGAGCCTTCCTGCAGGCTATACTGGAACACGAGGAAGAAAATGAGGTAAGGTCATTAGAAGTAATCAGTTAGAGCATGCTTCAGGAAGCACTGAGTTATTTTTTTCATCAGTTACAAAGATTGTCATCTCATTCATCATCATATTTTTACCATCCAGTCAAAGAAAAAACTTTGTTTATCTCTCTTTTTTGGGAGGAGTCACAGCAATAGGCTGTACTGTAATGGTTATGATGAAATCCTAGGATAGAGTTAGGCATTATAACTTAAACCCATTTCACCCTTTTGTAATTTTGGCAAAAGATTGTATTCTGCAGTTGTGTTCAGTTGTGTCCAACATGGACTTCCAGTTACCACTTCCTCTTCAAGAAACAATTAGCTGTTTAAAACAAATGTCTTTACTTAAAATTGTGGCAAGTGAAGTTGTAGAATCACCAACTGTATGTCCCTGTCTTTTCATTGTATTCTTCTCTGGAATGGTGAATGTGAAATGGTGAGCAGTTTGTTTAGCCTGTCACTGCAGACTCTTTTCTTAATGTGAACAAAATTCAATGTTCTCCAGTGACTTTTTCCGACATGAAAAATATCCCATACTGGTTGAAGACACAGACATTTCAAGCCTAATTTTACCTCTGATTTTGCCTTGTACCTCTGATATGATGCACACTGAAAGAAAAGGAGATTCTGTAGTCTTATGTTTCACAGACATCCTTCATTAGAAAATACTTAGCTGAAAATATTTCAAAAGTCAGGACTGTAGTTCAAGCCTACTTGACATACCTTATTTCACAGATGACTTCAGAGCAATCTGCTTCTTGTGTGATGTTCAAATACACTTGATCTGCCGTCTTGAAGCAAGCACAGGTTTAACCGAGGTTGCTTGCTGTAACCCAGCATCGCTCTTTAAAGCAAACATTGATATTGCAGTCTCACTCCTAACACAAACTATTCAAAACCTTGCCCAAACAGTGAAACTGTTGAACTAGTAACAGGGATTGAATCTGGATCATCCTGCACTGGTCAACCATTGCTTCTTCATTGCAACAGCACTAGAAACAAAAAATTTGAGTATCAAATGTGAGATTGACAAGAAAAAGTAGTTTTTTTAACTCTGAGTTAAAAGTTATTAAATTAACTTTGACTTGCAAGTATGGACTAGCAAATCTAATGAAGATACTGTTTAGTGACCACCTAGTTAAATACTGACATGCCAAGCATGCTTGAAACTTGCATATCAAAGCTTTTTATGCTTAAATACAGAACACTATGTTGTGTTTGTACTTTCTTAGTAGTTCTCATAAATTAAGCAGCAAATCTCCTTTTATTTTTCTTTCTTCCTTCCTTTTTTTGCTATGTTTTTTTTCTTTTAGCAGTACTAGATAAAGCAAAGAGGTACCCTGTCTATTTAGCAAGATAAATTAGAATAATAGGAATGTATCACAGGTGATTAGAAGTAACTTGTTCATGGAGACATTTGTTTTTGGCACTGGTGTTTAGAAATTTTTCTTGTTCAAAGCTTTCATGGTTAGCAACAGGATTGTTCGGACTAACCACAGATGGTGTGGACACTGCTATTACTGCCTCTGTTGTAGGATGCCTTGTTTTTTTCAGCTTACAGGTTTCTCTGTTTGAGGTTATAGGAAGCATATGAAACTTGTGTTTCACAAGAGTTGTGTTCTTCACTAATCGTAAAAGGAGTGATCTGTACTCTCTTTCCTCTCTGTGTATAACTGTGTAAATTTATTTTCTTGAATGTTGAAGAAGTGCTGACTAGAAGTGAAATGAGGTAGTTCTCTGTCATTTTTTTCAAATATAGTGACAGTTTTTGGATTTAACAAGGATTTTTTTCATTCTCCTTGCTTTGATAGTGAAGACCTCATAACGCATAATGGTATTTCTGAGGGAGCACAGTAGAGCAGCAGAACGGAAATGCATATATTTTAACTGAAGCTAACTGTGCTTCTGACCCAGGAAAACCACAACCCAAGATTTCCTGGTTGCATATTTGCTCATTTCCTCATTCTCAATTTATGAAGGTGGTAATAAGTCACAGTTATCTCTTTAATTATGTCTATTTTGTGTTACTTCTGAATCACTGAATGCTAAAAAAAGTTTTTGTTTCATTTTGAGTGTTTCACACGTGTCTGAACTGGAGGATGATCAGTGCAACACTGACTTGATGGAGACTGTTACTTCAGGTTACATGTAGCTTCTTTCTAATACCTTTATCCATCTGTGTAACCAGGAGGAAGATGAAGTTCCTGATGATGAGACTCTGAATCAGATGATAGCTCGACGTGAGGAGGAGTTTGATCTCTTTATGGTAAGGATGATATGATCGTAAGTAGAATATCTTCTCCAGTGTTTTGGCATTCCATTTTTTGAAACCTTTGTTGGAGGAAGAGGCTTTATTTGTTTATTTGAGTAAAGAAAGGTAGTCTACTTAAATACGTAGTTCCTCACATGACAGAAAGACTTCAGAGACGCTTGCTGACAGTGTAGTGAAACACTGCCAGTCTGGAGGAAGAGTCTGGCATGACCTGAGAAATTTACAGTGCAAAAATGATAGTGACTCTTTGGCTTGTTAGTTCTACAGCATACTTCTGTTTTCGAGCATTTCTTCTGACTCTTGGGCTATGATATTGGCAAAGACAACTACAGGAACTTTACAGGATACTAAGTTAGTAGACTGACAGTGCTTTTTCCTTTGTGAGTTAAGTGGGTTTTGCTAGTGGTTTTGTGAAGGGTCCAGTTAGCTGGAGGGCAGTTTTTTCATCAGTGACAATTGTTCATGTGCAAAGTTGGCAAAGGCCATATTTCCCACCTGGCCATGCCTTTTGTTTTTTCTGATGTATCCATTTAGTCCTTTCATGCTAAGTTTCATTTAATGTTACTTCAGAAGAACTGAAAGCCCTATGACTAGACTGCACAGAAAATGAGTGCTTACACACATCTGTCTCTTAAAACTTTCTTTCAATGATTCAGCTCTAAGATTTTACATGACAGAAACCAAGAGGTGGCCATTTGATCCAAAACTCAAAAGTAGTAGTTTCTCACAAATTATTGTCTGAACGTACCTTGAGTTCTGTGAAAGCAGATTTGCTGCTCGAAAAGACTTCTCAGTACTTTACACCCAGAAGGAAAGAATTAATCCATGTATTCAAAGTAGCTGATGAATTTATGTCTGTTTGCGGGAAATTTCTACAACTTCATCTTTTTTTGGATTAAGTTTAAAGTCTATTAACAGCCATTCAGTAGAACAGTTGAGAGGCCTAGAGTGAAGATAAATTTTAGCACTCTGTGGGCTGAATTGATGTTTTTCATATTAATTTACATGTAAGTTATTAAGGGAGAGTAAAGAATTGATAGTAGGTAGTAAAAATTTGAAGATGCAAAACTAGCATACTTTGAAAGCCAGGGGTTTGAAAATAAGTACTTTAAGATGGAAACAGTGAAATTAATTACTAGTAGCTAGGAGATAACTTAATTGTTAATAAATTGTTTTTCATTTCAGTAAACCATTTAATATAAAAAGACTGAAAAACAAGTTTGGCAGTCAGGGTTGTTTGTCTTCTTTTTATCAATATTTTAGGTCTTACATAGTTAGATGAGGAGCGCAAAGATACGTTTGTATTGTCATTACCTCAGTGATACCTGTCCTGCCTCATTCCCTCTGGTAAGACTGTGCGGATGTAATCAGAATTTGGCATACTGCAGCATCCAAGAAAAATGTGTTTTGTTCATTTAGCTGGGCTTAGAGATGTAAATGTGTGTAATTCGCTTCTTTAAAGCAAGCGGTTCCAAAACAATAGGCAAGAGACCAGACTGTTTCCTTGAGAAGCCATTCTGTGGTCACTTTTCAGGTCAGAAGTATTATTTGGCATAGATCCTGAAATGTAGCTATAAAGCTAAATACACTGTTCAGAAAACAGAATGTGTACAAGTGGACTTTGTTCCCCTGACTTTTAGAGGCTCCACACGTGTAACAATAGGTAAAAAAATCTAAATAGCCTCAAACCTCACACTGTCCTACTTTTGTATTTGTTACAAATGATGACACCAGAAAAGGTGATGAAGACCACTTGTAAAATGCTATAGCAGAGGTAGTATTTGGGAACACTTGTATTTGAGAACTGCCAAGAGAGAAGATTCATCATACTCAATAGTGCCATCATGAAGCCTCAGTTAGTAAATTTAACTGGATTTGAGCGGCCCCTGTAGGTAGATAATACCCGTGAATTTATGCATGTCTGCATCTTGGCTGAGAGCGTAAAAGAATGACATGTCTAGTTGGCATCCTGTGTACGTGCACCGTTGTGCGGACAAGGGAGGGGTTTGTGCATAATTGAGAATGATTTTTACAGGTGTTTACTGGCCAAAGCAGTAGCTTGTTGCGATGCTGTAGCCGATTCTGGTGCCAGTCTATTTATATCAGCTTTTCAAACGTCAAAGTTAAATGCTGGATGGCCACCTGTGTGTTTTCTCTGCTAAGCAAGTGGTAGTATGGAGTGTTCTTTGGAAGAGGCTATTCATACTATCTGATTTGGGCTACTTAAAAAATGCAGATGAGATTCATGGGACAATTGGAGCCTAAGGACAGTGTATAGTCAAGAGAGAGGTGGATGCTTCACTGTGAGGATTACATAGCACCTGACTGATGAGTCTACAGTAGGTCATGGGAATGTGTCCTGACTATCCCTATCTGTTTTCTGAGTTATTTGTCAACCACATCTCAAGTTGTGTTATGTGATTATTTCAGTTTCATCTCAAAGTCTTAACCATCTTGTAATATTCTTAACATTTTACCTGATCTTATATCTGGTATTTTTGTATGTGTTTTCACTTTTGCCTAGTACAGCAGGTTAGATCAGGAAAAATTCAGTGGTTTAAACATGTTGGCTTTCTGGCACTGTGTAGGCAAGGTTTTCTCTGAATTTCTTTATCCTCTCTTTTTCTTTTTTCTAATACCCGTTTTTAAATGTTCTTGTTCTGATATTCAGGTTCACAAAATCAGTGTGTTTGCAGTTGCTGGTTTTTTGTTACATAATAGTAAAATCTTACCGGGATATTGTCAAGGAATGATTAGTACTTGCAGATCAGGTTTATAAATACAAAGAAGCTATAAAACCTGTGCAAAAAGGGAAGAGAGTTGTTTAATTAACACAAAAGTGTTCTTGTGATCTACTTTGTATCACTTAGCTGCTGTGTTGTCTCAGTTACTTCATTAAAAGCTAGTTGTTGAGTAGTGAACTTGACTGAAAATCACCTGTTAGGTGTAGCTTCTTTTTTACATAGCTAATTTTAGAAGAATTTATAAGTATCAGGGAAGGAGAATGCCTGTGAAGGCACTTAATATTTGCTCTTAAACTGTTTCATCTTTTCCCAACTGCCTTTGCAGCGCATGGACATGGACCGTCGCAGAGAGGATGCCAGGAACCCAAAGCGCAAGCCTCGCTTGATGGAAGAGGATGAGTTACCATCCTGGATTATTAAAGATGATGCTGAAGTTGAAAGGCTTACATGTGAAGAAGAAGAAGAGAAAATATTCGGAAGGGGATCCCGTCAACGCAGAGATGTGGACTACAGTGATGCTCTTACGGAGAAACAGTGGCTGCGGGTAGGTTGTCTCCTTTTTTTATTGTTTTTTTTAACAGTTCAAGTTTATTCATTTGTGATGTGGGTTTTTTTTCCTTTTTGAAGATTGCACAGTTGCACCAGGGATAGGACAGTGTAGTAGTTAAGGCCTAAATATGCCTATTATCCAGCTTTTGCTGCTGTGTTGAAGGCATAAGTAAATTTTGAGATGCAATGTTAAACTGAAATCAGTGTTACCAAATGCTGAATCAGGACTGTGATAGCCTTGTATTGCAACTGTTCCATTGTCGTGGATCTTGAAATGTTTCTTACACCTTTAGGCACTTTGGTGTCATCTTTAAGATATCTGAAGAATCCTTCTGCAGTGGAGAAGACCAGTGATCAATGTATATTACAGCTTTCTGTGCTGCAGAAACTTAATTTTATTGTTTTTTTAAATAACTGAATTTAACCCTTTAAGAATTTGGAAGCTTGCACATAAGTCTTCTTTGTCTTATGCTGTTTCATTTCTCTCAGTCCTGAGCATTTCTTGGATCCATTGAGATCAAAACCCTTGATAAATGATGTGAGAATTTAACACCTACAAGTAAAGATTCTAAACTTAATTCACACCAAATCTGTGATTTTGTTGTATTTGAGAATTCTTGTCATTCTTCTGTAAAATATGCGTCTAATGAATTCTAATGCATGTACCTTTTCAGAACGGTAGTAACAGGAGGTAAGATGTGGAGTGATAGTTGGAAAGTCTTTTCAAATGAGGAAATTTCATACCATTATGATTTCCAAAACATATAGATAAAGTATTGTATATGCAAATCTAGTCTACATGGTTTGATAAAGTAAATTTTGTCATAATTACAGACTTACTGCCAACGTGAATATACAGTGGAGTTTTTGTGTGTAATTAGTTAAAGGTAGTAGAGATCTTACCTATCTGAATTACAAATGTGAAGTTTGTGAGAGTGCATTAATGCAATACTAACAGCTAACCCAGATTCTGCTTTTGGGTATAAAGCTCAGGGGAGAAAAGATGTGAATTATACATCAGCTGTGAATCTACGGAAGTTTATGAAACTACAGGAGTTCAATACCTGACATTTTCGGGTATTCAGTGGAGAAACATAAACTCCATTCTGGATTCTCCAACCTTTACCCTTCCCTACAGGGAAAGTGCTTTCACTATAGTGTACATCTACTTAAGGTCATTTTAAGCTAATTATTTATAATGGTGGAATATTCCGGCTGTGGCAAAACAGAAGGTAGCTTTAGCTTGCACATTTTGTATCTTGAGTTGGTTCTGATTTTAAGTGCTTTACTGTCAAAAATGACAGCCCTAAAAAACCAATCTAATCCACCTTCCTACTCGGAGCAGAATCAGACAGTCCTGTGTCATTTGTAATAGATGTTCATCCAATCTGTTCTTCAGGGCCTTCCCTAATAATGAATTTAGAAGTCCACAGGGTAAGGCTTTCCCTTATTTTATCTGAATTGTCTGGTTTGATTTTAAACAAATTACTTCTTGTTCTAATCATGCAGAACAGACTGCTACCTTTCTTTTTTTAACATTTCTGTATGTCATTGAAGAGTTGTTTCCCTTTTGAGTCAGTTCTTGACGTTAACAACTACTGCTCATTCAGTCTATTCTCATAGTTACTTTTTTCTAGATCTCGTTTTCACTGATTTCCCCTAGCTCTTCTGTGTGTGAGTAACTTCCTTCTTCAAGTTTAGTCAAAAGCTAGTCGTCAAAACTCCAGGTGCAGCCTCATTTGAATAAGGAGGAGGAGTTCCTATGCATAACTTACAGGATACTTACACTTTGTGATCCGGTATTTAATTTCCCTAACAGTACAGGTATTAACTCATGTTAAATTTTTGATCCAGTATAAGCCCTTAATCCTTTTCTGTGGATCTACTTCCTGGCCAGTTTTTCAGAATCATGTTGATGACCATTCCTTCTGAGAAAGAGAATTTAGCATATGCCATTGTTGAATGATATCTTAAGTTTTCTTCACCAAAATTATTCTGAATTTTGAGCCTGTCCTCAAGTGAACCTCTGGTCAGCTTGGTGTTCTTTGGAGATTTGACAGGGATACTTTCTATTCTGTCATCCTAAAAAGTCTGAGAAGCACCAGTCCTTTTGATGAAAGAGCCATTGAGGACTATTCTGAAAACAGTTTCTTACTGATTCTCTATTTACTTGATAGCAATTGTTTTCATTGTTTGCCTCTGAGGCTGTTGTGTGAGGCCAGGTTAGAAGCTTTGCTCATCAAGATGGTACCTGCACTACCCCTTTTTCAACGTGGCTTATTATTCTTATATGTTGAGAAAAATTAGTCCCACTCCTTCTCCACATCGAGTTGTTAAGCATGTTCTCAAATTAATTAAGTTAAAACTACATCATATTGCTTCACAGTGCATGGCAGCCATTACTGTGATGTGTCAACTTATAAATGGACTTGAGGGTGTATTGAAACAACTGCAAGTGTAGGAATTAAAAGTGCTTTTTATATCCTTTATCTATAGTCTAGCACCGCTTATGCAGGTATAGAATAAGAACTCCGTTGGTGGATGCTGAAATCTAAGTTGAAGTTTTGGAGTTTTTTCATTATCTTATTTTCCAAGCATGCGTATGTGTAAAACAGAGTTCTTTGTCATACCAATTGGCCTTCTACCACCATTGTTTTTATGTCTTTAAGAATACATATATGGAAGATTGTAGTAAAAGTGGTAATAATCTTGCACAACATTTTCAGGGGAACTTTAACTGTAACGTATAAAATTGTGGTAGACTATTGTGAGCATTTGTATCTTGTGGCTTTGTCACTGTAGCTTGTAACAGTGTCGTGCATATTGCATGATAACTTCAAATTAATCAGTTCATGTTAACTTAGATGCAGTGAACTACTTGTATTCATAAACAGTCAGCGTGGTGTTTCTGAGGGGAAGTCATGTTCAACCATCTGGTAGCCTTCTATGAAGATATAACCAGGTGGATAGATGATG